TACTCTTAAATAATTACTTTGATTATTCCATGAAGTTAATTTTGAACTGAAATGCTTTCTACTCAATGGTAGCTACAACTCCAAAGCTATAACGTACATAAAATCTGTAAGAAAAGCTTTCTATGTAAGTATTATTATCTCTGAAATATAAAATTACTGTTAATTAAAAAACAGAACTATAAATATAAAAAATATTGCACCCAGCACTCAGGAGGCTGAGGCAGGAGGATCGCAGTGAGTTCGAGACCAGCCTGGGCTACATAGTGAGTTGCAGGTCAGTCTCAATTACATAGTGAGACCCTGTCTCAATAAATAAATAAATAAATAAAACAATATTGCAGTTATGCTCTCGTTCAAGCCATTATAAAGGCACATGTCATATAAAGACAATGATGTCACAGTAGCAATCCACTCACTCAGCACTGCCATTTGATGATTAAGAGACCAGGAATGTGGTATATTGGTTATACTTTAAAAAATTCTAAAACCACTAAGTTATAATTTAAGATTGATGGGTCTTCAAACTCAAAGCTCTGTATTCAAGAAAGGCACAGGAAGCTTTAAAAATAGCTGTATTTCCCTAACTAGGACAACAGTTGGCAAACTTTTTCTGGAAAGGGTCAAATACTAAATGTTTTAAGTTTAATGGGTCTCTGCTGCACCTTCTCAAATCTGCTGTTGGAGCAGGACAGCAGCAATGGGCAACATGTAGACAATATAGCTGTGTTCTAGGTAGAAAGCCAGATTTGGCTTGAGGGCTGGCTACCACTTGTTAACCCTCCTCTAAGGACACAGGGTGTGCGAGTATGTTAAATAGGTACAGATGTCTGTGTACGTAGGTGGGTGTATGTATAAATGAATGCATTAGCTACCAAGTCTGTGCCTCTCCCACAGTTACAGCAGCGTCATGAGCAGTCACACAGGTGCTGTTTAGCCGGCTCTGCCCCTGTAGTCGGATGGCACAATGGGACCCCCGGGCTCACTCACTGCTGCCCTGGGCAGTCTCAGAAGTGTACTCTCCTCCAGCTTCCTTTCTGCTGCCCCTGCCTAGACACAGCTGCTGCCCTCCGCCCAGAGGGGAAGGAAGTTAGGGGGGCAGGCTGTATTCTGCTCTTGTTCTTTGCCCCTGACAGAAACCTGGATGTGAGCTTAGGGGAAGGGGAGTTGGGGCTGGATGTGTCCACCTCTGGCCCTCAAGGAGGGACACAGAGGACCATCCTTGCTCTGGGCTCGGTGGACTGTGTGTGGAGCCTTGCGCCTCCTCCCTGTCAGGCACCAGTTGTGCCCCAGTGTGGAGGCTACCATCTCTTGGGGCGGCCTCAGATTTTCCCCATCCCTGAGGGCCTGGTGCACAGGTCCTGTGGCTGAGGACTGAAGAACCGGAAGCTGACAGTCTGCATTGCACCCGTAGTCACAGGTCCCCTGTGGGCTCTGCACTTCCCCATCTGTGCACCTACAGGGGACACAGTCGGAAATTTAAAGAGTAAGTGAAAAACACTGAGATAGGGGAAAGGAAGAGAGTGAAAAAGAGAGACAAAAAACTGTATTTTAGTACTTCTAGCATCATTTCTTTCTTTCTTGTGGAACAAAGAATCTTTCATTTTTACTTCGCATAGGCCCCTAATAAAGGATCATCTTTGAGATTTATCTACCAAAATAGAAATTGAGAAAGAGAATTCCATTTATGTCAGCTAACTGCTGTAATGCCAGGGCTTCCTGCAACATTCCAAAATCTTAAATATAAGGATATGAAATTACGTATTTTGGGTTTCAGATTCTAAGGCACTCCATTGGGATTTAATGATCAGGAATCCTAGTTGGTAGCCATTTCTTTAAATACTTTGCTAAGGATTATCTCCTATTTCTTTTGAATGGTGATGAGTCATTTCTTAAGCACAATAAAACATTATGAAATAAATGAAATAAACTGGAAAACAACAAAGAAAACTGAAATTTTTCTGAGCTCCTTTCATTTCCTTTTAAAGAGAGCAGTAATGCCATACCCTAATATGCAAACATATACCTGTCTTTCTGATTTGGATAAACCGACTAGAAAACATTTTTGAGACAAAGAATTTGAATATGGGCTGGGCACTGTTTCATTTGATATTAAGGAATTACTGTTACTATTCCCAGGTGTAATAATAGCATAGAGATCATGTAAAAATATTCACAGATGTGTACTGAAGTATTTATGGGTAAGATAACAAACATAATATCTGAGGATGACTTTAACATTTCTGCAAAAGGAGACAGAGGAAGAAGACAGACAATGAACAGAAGGCAGAAAAGAAAAAGATGAAGACAAAAGATGAAGGTGGTGATGAGGAAGATGAAGGCGTTAAGAGGGTAAAATGGTGAACTGGATTAAATAGGACTAGCAAAATGTTAAGCACAGGTGATAGAAATTCAGAGATTTTCTCTAATCTTCCCTTTGCCCTCAGGTATTTTTAAATTCCCATGATGAAGTGTGTGTATATTTGCCTATACTACAGAAACTTTGTAATAAAAATCAGGGTGCAAATTTCTTGTTCTCCTCCATATAAACATCATCTTTTTGACACGCACACACACAAAAAGCATCCTCTGAGGCTGTCAGGAGTCCTCTAAACTGGAGAGATACAAAGGAGTTGATGGGAAGGATGATCTGCCCATCGGTTCCTGACACAATATAAAAAAGAAAAGAAGAAAGTGGGTGGAAGAAACTGCCATTGTTACTCTCCTAACCTTTGCATCTAATTATGCCAGAGTCAAGGCTCAGGTCACAAGGAAAATCATTTTGGTCGTCAACCATTTGCCCTACTTTGTATACATCAAAAAAGCCCTTGTTCTCACCACATTCCAATCTCACAGCTTTCCACCTACTTTAAAATCTATCAAATGGTCAGATTAACTAAAATATTAACAAAAAATAACTGTGTCACAAGGAATACTTGTTTGCAAACCAAAAGGTAGACTCCTCATTATGCTGAATTGCATGATAGGCAACACTTTAAAATTAAATATGCTTTACATTATTTTATATATTTCAGATGAATGCACAACATGTCCAGCTTTTAAAAGTTAAATGTAAATTTCTCTCTTGAGTGCAGATGGTGGCCAAGCAAAATAGCTCTTTGGTCTTACAGACAGGAGGTCAGGTCATGGCTGAAAGACCAAAGAACAATTGCTGCTTTGCGACTCCAAATCATCCATGGAATGAGACACCACCACTTTCTTTAAATTGCCTGTTCAATATAAAATAGTTACAAAGAGTATCTATAAGATTTCCTTACATTCTGTATAAGAAAAAATGGTAACAAGCGCACAGTATCACAAAAATCTTGTATCTGTTTAGAAGTTTTATTCCTAAGCCTATGACCTCCCCCAAAAGCATATCTCTATCTAAAAATGTATCACTAAAAATCCTTATGGACACTCTTAATATTTCATAATTATGAGGAAATGACTAAAATCAAAACTTTTTCTTTAAAATCTTGCAACTGTGGCCTTCATACCATTGCTGGTGAATTAAGAATGCCAAAAGATAAAAATTACAAATACTTTAAAACAGTTTATTCATTTATAAATAATATTATACCCTTATTGATTCTGAGTTTTTTTCACTAAAACATCATCATATAATGTTAAATAACTTAGAGATTCTTCACTATTGTATTTTTCCAGTTAATCCAAAATATTATGAAGGCAGAATGTTGTACAATCATGTAGGAGGTATTTAATAATGCCAGTGATTATGCCAGTAGAACTTTTAAAATGTATTACAACAGGAAAAGAAAGTTTTCCCTTTGGACTTAGTAGTCCTAGGCTTTCAGGACTAAATAGAAAGGATTTTCCATTCCACTATCAGGCACGCCCCCAACTGGATGAAATAAAATAGTTTCATTATTCATAAGTGTTAATATTGAAAAAAAACTTCTGAAAGTGTAAAATTCTTTATAATATCTTGACTATAGTGGTATAAAAGCAGAATTTTAGCTTGCTTGTCTGGATTTTAACTTAGTGCTAAAGGTTTTAGTAATGACTTAAACTTTTTGGTGTTAAACTTTGCTATCACTTTCATTTCAATACTTTTCTCAGCTGTCTTTGTCTCATTTGACATAAAATGCTAATGGGATTTAGAGGGGAGAATATGAGAAATACAATAAAAAACCTTGAACTGGAAATAAACTTGAAATAATTTTACTTGGAGTAATATAGTTTTAAATCATGGTAATTTCTGTAAAATATAACCACTAAGCAGTCTTATTATTTTAACAGCATGAATAACCTGCTTTCACTAGATACAAAGAATAGACTAGAGACATGCCTTCAAAGGCATGTACTGTGATATAAAAATAGACAATCAAAAGCAAGCCTGTTATATCTGCCTCTCTGAAAACTTCATCTATGTTGTCAATTAAAGTTGGAGCACCTACATGATCTCAATAAAGTTACAACATAAAACATCTGTTCAAAGCACAGTTGAAGTAAGCAGCATTTGCCTCCCTAACGTTTCTAATTGCACTGTATTTAGGCTTCCTAAGCAAACATATTCATGGTTATCTTAGTTAAAACTGGTTTCACTCTGCCAACAATCAATTTGATTGACATATTTACATATCAACCCATCTCATCTTACACATTTTAAACTTTTTCATTTAAAATTGGATGCAAGTTGGCATCCTTCAAGAACTTTATGTACATATATTTTAGGTTCAAACTGTGCATTAGAACACTTTTTTTTAACTTTTGTAAGTAATAGATACACATATCCAAATGTATATTTATGACCTGTCAGATTGGAATTTTATATGCATGCAGTTGTAGTCTCACCATTTCCTGTGAAAGGTGATAAATTTAGGCAACTATAAATGAAAGTCTTTTAATAGTATAAACTAGATCATTGCATTAGTTAGAAACAATATAAGAGAAATAAATAACAGAGGGATAAAGCCACATCAACTTCAGAAAGAAAGTTAGTTATATCTTTCATCGATCCTTCTTGTGTCATCACTTACCTGATCTTTAATTTCAAGATCCCTTTTAGTTTTTACTCTGTACTCTTTGTGCTCCTTTTCTGTCTCGTCCTTCTCCACTTTAGCTTTATTCAACTGGAAGCGCAGTTCTCCACACACCTGTTAGATTGTAGAAACTAGATCAATAGCTGCTGGAATCTACTGGGCAATGCCTGTAATTAGATCTTTTGGTGCCCCCTAGAGGTCGTATAGGTGAAATGCAATAGTACTCTAAATGACATTTTCTACTGGAGTATTCAAAAGAGCCTGTTAAGATTTGAAGGCATTATCAGGAATCACTGAATCTAACAGTTTCAAATTACAGACTAAAGAATTTTAAATGAAGATTTAAGTGACCCCAAAATAACCATTTCAATTGAATATTATCAATCAAAAAGCACCATCATACAAATTTTTAATTAGGTAAAATTAATCAATAAAACAGGTGCAGTAGTGAATACCTGTAATCCCAGATGTCTAGAGGCTGAAGCAGGAGGACCACAAGTTTAAGACCAATCTAGACAACTTAGCAAAATCCTACCTCAAGATAAAAAAGGGTTGGGGATGTAGCTCAGTAGAGCATCCCTGGGTTCAATCTCCATTACCTCAAAAAAAAAAGTATATAAAACATTAAACTATGTTACTATTTATTGAAATTTAAAATTTTTATGGTTAAATATTCAATCTACATTGTAAAATGTTTCTTTAAGGACTTTATGAGTTAAGCTTTTGTTTAAAGAACTTTATAAAGAAAAATTTCTCTACAGTGTACAGTGCTAATGCACCATATTATTGATATTTGGTGTGTAGTACATGGTACCTGCTGTGAACTTTGTAGAAAACATCAATCTTATTCTAAGTGCACAGCACTTCTGAAGTTAAGGAATATTTCTTGGCAAAATTAACAAAGAGGAGCTAAACACACTCTATACTCACAACTAGAACATTTAATATAAAAATAAAACATCATTAGGGCTGGGATTTAGGTCAGTGACACTGCACCTGCCTTGCAAGTGCAAGGTCCTGAGTTCAATCCCTGGTACTGCAAAAAAAAAAAATCATTAAATGATGAACACACATAGAATCTTAAAAGTGTTGTGAATCATTCTTTGTATAATTTGTATTTTTCCCAGCCTTGACAGACACAGAAATATATTTGGAAAATGCAATCACCAGATACATTCTTGTAACTTGTTTTTATTTTTAATTGACAGGTGATGCTTGAGATTTTTTATGTGGTACACTAAAACAACTTGACACATGTATACAATGTGTAACTAACACATCATCTCAAACATTTATCATCACTATCTTACAAAGGTTGGAGACTTTTGGGCTCTTTATTGTTGTTCTCTTTCTTTAAAATTGGTTATACAGATTAATGAGTTCTAAGTAGACAAATTACGGGCCTTATAACATAACCTGTCATGAAACTTCTAATTTACAAAATTTTTAAAGATCATATATTACCTAAAGGTTATATTTTCTTGAAATGTTTCAATTTCAATATTTCTCAAAAAATCATGAATAGTGTATCATTACTAAGGCATTAGAATATACTAAGATATAAAACCAGTATGCATTTCCTATGTTTAAGTAAAAAAAAAAATCATTTGAAAAATAAATGAAATCTAGCTGAGCACGGTAATACATGCCTCTAGGCCTTTCTGCTTTGGAGGCAGAAGGATCGTGTGAATTCAAGGGTGGCCAAGCAACTCAGCAAGATCCCATGTCAAAAAAGCAAAAACAACAAAAGAAATAAAACAAAACAAACCTGAGTTCAAGTTACAGTGACAAGACTGAAGAAAAAGTCAGTGTGCTTTCCCATTGTGGCACTCAGAAAGCTAAAACAATGAATTTACTAAAAATTCCACTTGAAATCCAGCTGCCTTCAATGTATGAGGTCATTCTCTCCTTTTCAAAAAATTATAAATTTAATTATAAATTATAAAAAAGTTTTTTTTTCAAGGGAAAGTAGAATTTTAGAAACTCAGAGTGGTAGAAATTAGAGAGTCCTAATTCTCTTTTTCAATTCTTCACTATTCCAATCTATTTGATTTACATCTATGAAAGAAGTGGAAAAAAAAATCTCAAGTTGGTAATACCAGAAAATAACAATTACACAACACCAATACAAACATTATATAATAATAAATGCCAAAATATCGGGTTGTATTAAAAAATTGTTCTTAATTTTACTTTTAAAATTCCTTTGCCTTTCTACTTTCAGTTCAGCGTTTGCTGTTTATCCAAACATTAAAATTTCATCTTAATCAACAAATTAATTGAACAACATTATATTATCTCAGGGATGGAACCAATCTCAATAATTTTACTGATGCTTGAGTCCTTCTGGATCCTTCTAGAGACAAGAACTAATTCTTTGTATTGCTGTATTTCAATAGAAAGTTCTCCTTCTATAATGAACTTCAAAATGTCACCATAGATTTCACCTGTAAATTTAGGTGAAGCACTATTATACTTTCGCTGCAATCTCCTCGCTTCAAATCCTGCGTCCCCACAAACATACCAGGTATACTGGCAAATACAAGCTTCTAAAATTTTAACACTAGTTAGCTTAAATTTTAGAAAGCTAATGGACAATTACAGAAATTGAAGAAGGGGGGAAGACCCTCTTTCTTAATATGTAAGTTAAAATGAATTTTAATTACTGAAATATAAAACAATAATGGCTATCAATAACTGTCAATACTTAGGAAAATGAGGACTACGTCTGAATTTTAAACAAATCAGCTTAATGATCAAGACTATTAATGGTGATTTCATTTATTATATTGTTCATGCCCACATTTAGATTCTTAGTTCTAAAGTAGTTGGCTTGAAATCTGGGTGGACTTCTAGTATTTACTAAAATAGAGACCTAATATAGTAACCTTGGCCAGATAGGAACATTAAACATTTCAGTTCTTGGTTTACAAATTAGTGGTGTCCATAGCACTGATCATATGGCATTCTAGTGTCTACACTGAAATATCAATACCAAAAATATCTGCAACATCAGAATCTTGGTATCAGAGGCCAAATCTGAAAAGGAGAGGGAGAAAGGTAATGTTTTATGTTAAGGACACTTTTCAGGTGCCAGCAGATATCTTTGACAACTATTGTGGAGAGCAACCCTATGTTATTTATGTTAAAAAACCACTCCTAACTCATTTAGAAATGTACAAATTTTAGCAAATATTCAATAATAAAAGATAACTCTTACTTATCAGCTTGTCTTTTCCACTTAACCCTTACACTCTTCAAGGACTTTATGTCTAATTCACGTTTGCGTCTGCAGTGCACATCACAGGGGACACAGACAGAATATAAATATTTGCTGTGTGACCAGTAGATAGTTGCTGTTCTTGAAATAATACAACTCTTCCACACCCCAAACTTCTTCCTGATAATAGTAACGGCTTTGTACATTAAGAGAACTTTCTTTGCTGGGCATGGTGGTACACATCTGTAATCTCAGTACTTAGGATGGTGAGGCAGGAAGATCAAGAGTTCCAGACCTGCCTGGGCTACACAGGAAGTTAATTCAAAGCTGGCTTGGACTGCACAGCAAGACCTTTACCTCAAAAAAAGTTTCCTTTTCAAGGAAAATATGTACTTAAATAATCATTAAACTAAAATCCTTTCTTTCACCTTTGTGACATCCATTTCCTGAGATGCCAGCTGGTTTTGAACTTCCTCTAGTTGATTAATAGCAGAAATTTTCTCCCTTGTAACCTTTTCCACCTGGGATTCCAGCTGGACAATATTTTGAGATAGGAGCAACATCTGTAAGAGGAAAGTAAAGTTGTAAACAATAAAGTTATTTGACAAAATACATACTTAAATTTTATTTTATTAATAGAGTCTGACCATAGACACTCAATAGTCTGTTAAGCCATTTTCTGCGGATTGGGTACACTTATTTCCCTACTTGTTCAACTCATCTATTCTTTGACACGGAATATGTACTTCCTTCCTGAATAGGGCTCTAATATTATTATGGAAAATGTTTAAGATGATTAAATTTAAGATTTGTTTGAAACCCTACATGACAAATATTAGAGACACAATTAAGTCATGGAATAGACTACCATAAATAAATCTCAGAAGAGGGATGGAGGAATCAGACAACTCACAGACTTTGTCCCACATGGACTAGCATAGGATTGATGAGAGTTCAAGAAGAGGGCATCTTGAGAGAGAGCTACGGTCTACTGTGAATTCCACTCCCTGCCCCCACACCAACAAAGAAGAGGCTGCATGTAGTTCCCTTGGTGGGAAAACCCCACCTGCCCTCCCATTATCTTGAGCTCCCCTGTTTCTCCCATAGGATTCAGCTCAGTCATTATTTCCTCTCTGCCAGGAAGTTTTCCTGACTTCTAGTTACTAGCGTGAAAGGTGCCCCTGCACATCACAAGGCTAATATTCAGCTAAGGTGTACCGGGGTGGTCATGCCTGATGTCCACAGCCCGCATCCACCCTCACTGACTGTCCTTCTGGACAGCATTCTGGCCCTCACTCTTCCGATAACCTCAGTGTATACACCTGATCCTCTAACTTCTGTTTATGTCATAGTACTTCTTACACTGTTTTGTTTTTTGTCTCTTTGTTTCCTCACTAGAGTAGAACTTCTGCAATGGCATGATCACTAAAGGCACCAAATGTTTGAACAATGAATAATTAGAATACGTGACTTCCTCTTAGTTTTTCCCCACAGGATTAAAAATGTTTCTAGATCTTAAGAGTTATCCCTTATAGACTTGTAAATTATATTTGGCTCTATTCTAGTGAGTCAGACTTTTCTGGGCTCTTTATTTCTTAGTTGAATTGTAGTTTTAAAATGAAAAAAATGTGGGGCTGGGGATTTAGCTCAGGTTCGGTGGCTCTTGTAAATTATATTTGGCTCTATTCTAGTGAGTCAGTTTTTTCTGGGCTCTTTATTTCTTAGTTGAATTGTAGTTTTAAAATGAAAAAAATGTGGGGCTGGGGATTTAGCTCAGCGGTTCGGTGGCCTGCCTTGCAAGCACAAGGACCCAAGTTCAATCCCCGGTACCAAAAAAAAAAGAAAAGAAAAAAGAAAAAAATGCTAATGCAGAGCAAAACAAAGAGGGATATGCTACCAGTTTTTATCATTAAAACAAGAACTGGTAATAAATTAGAAATAGTGATGCTTAAGAAATTTACCATTGTGCGCTGACAGTTTTAAAATTGAAATCAATAACTAATATTTTATGATTAAAATTAAGAGCTTTGTGGTGAATTAAGAGCTTCATGGTGATAAAACCAAGACAGGTATGTCTTTGAGTCATATAAATAGCTAAGTCATCCCATTTGAAAATAATGAGCCTTGGTAGCTATTTTTTAATTCAGGAAGTGTAAGAAATACTAAGGCATGAACGGAAGTTAGATGATCAGGTTCTGAAGAGTGTAGAGGATTACATATTTGACTCACAGTTCTTTACATGTCTTTATCAAAAGATTATTTACAAATCTAATTTGCACATGGAATTAATTTTACTACTAACAAGCTACAAAGTATTTTTGTGAACATAAAAATCTAAACCTAGAATTAAAGGTCAAAAGAAGATAAATGGAACAAAAGTATCAATATAATTTCCTTTATTTAAGAATCCAAGTTCATGACTATCTATATCAGGAAAGTGTAACTACAGCTTTTCTAGAGCTACATCATGACAACACATTTTAATAGCCAGCTATTTAAAAATCATATATTACATATTTATGAGGAGCTCTACCTGATGGTAACATTAACACTGTGAAGTTTCTGAAGTAAATCTGCAGACTTTTATTTTGCTACTTGTAAATTCTGAGTCAGTTTCTATTGCAAAGCATGTAACTCATCTTTCCACTCCCTTCCTTAGGACTCCCTCCTTCTGCCACCCATCAATTCTTTCCTCTGCCCACTACCTGTCTGCTGCCTCCTGTCACCCACTTCCTGAGGTCTCCCCTCCTGTTGTCACACCTTCTTTTCCCCCATGCCCACCATCTGGAAGGCAGCATCACACTGCAGGAGCTTCTCCATCCACATCTGTTGCAGAGCCAGAAGTAATACAGACACAGCTGCAGCACTGCTGGATGTCCAAGGCATTGACATCAGGTAAGTCCTTTAAACTTTGACAGGGGCAAGAAAGAGACAAGGACACCCAGGTTGGGAGAGCTTGATAGAAATTTCTGCAAAGCAGTCCCTTGTGTATCGAATACGGTAGAAAGTAGTACTTTCTGTACAAAAGACACAAGAATTAAGGACTCCAGCCTTGGGCTATTAATTGTCAAGGGAGCCAACTGAGAAAATGTGTGGACTGCAGCCATTCAACTTGTTAGTTCATTCGGTTATTCATGGATAACTCAGTGTGACCAAGGACCACTACTGAAGGCAACAGGTCATGTTCATGGGGGAATGATCCAAACCAGTCTTTGTAGAAACACCTGCTCTTTTAAAGCTTCCAACACAAATGGATTTTTCAAAAAGAGAAAGAAAACAAGAAGAAAAATCATAAATGAAAGATAACTAAAAGTCTCTTTAGTGTGACTGCTGGTAGGAAAGCAGGGAGATCTGCTCTAGCACTAACTTTAACTACCTAGCACTTAATAACAATGTTATGGTTAACTGGTTAGTCTTCCTAGTAGATGATGCTCCCATGCTAGGCAGAGTGATATGCATTCTCTATTTAAATCCCTTTACAGAAGGAATTATAATGGATTTGGACTGACAGGAAATTGGATTAATTCAATTGGATTAATTTTCAATTCATTTGAAATGAAATTCAGAAAATTAATTGCCCAAGACATTCAAAATAATAAATAAAAGGTTAATCTGGGTTTTATACTCAAGTCTCTCTGCTTTTACCAACATGAAGGTTCCAGAAAGCTATCCAATTAGGCCACTTTTCTTTTTCTCTGAAATAAGAATGACAATAGCCACAAACTAACTAAATTTTATTTGGTGACCACCATAAGCCAGGCAGTATGGTATGTTCAAAACATCATCTCATTTAATCCTAGCAAATCCATGAAGAATTATCAACTTCATTTTTCACTCCTAAAATTTAGGTTAAAAAAGTGTCAAGATCACAGAAAGGTCAAACTGGCTTCAATCTCAAACCCCTTTTCTTCAGAGCCATTTTCTTTGGTGACAGCACTTACTTCAGTTCTAGAACCACTGTCAGCTCTTTATCCATCCCTCTTTATTTAGGACAGGACCTTGACATCAAAGCTTACTGCATTCAATAAAATTGAATGACTCAGGCTCTAAAATACATCGTGTTTCTGTTGTCGTCTTATTCATAAAATAATTGTTAGTTTTAGTGAGAGGTCCTATTACACATGAATGCATCTGGCATACTGCCAGGAATATTTTAGGCTTCCTTTATCCTTTCTGATCAGGAATTCTCATCAGCAAATTTTATATAATAGAACTACTCAGCAAGACAAAAGACTTGCATTAAACAATCCCCCAAATAAAAACCTCCTAGGTGTGAATAATAGCTGGCCTTTGCCATTGATACCATTCTCTCTCATATACAACACTCAATTCACAACTTCATCTCCCTCCATTCCTTATTCATACTGACCGTGAGCCACACTCCTTCCCCGTGCTTTTTGTTTCCAAATCCTGCCTATTGGTCCAAGTCCAGTTAAAATGTCACCTTGCCCACAAAGATGTCCATGATCCATTGTAGATGGGGATCAGTTCTGAGCCTCTTGACCCTCAGCATTTTAGTTCTATCTTTCCAATGGCTTAGGGCTTTTTTGGCTTTCCATGTGTATCATTCATTTATTCAACAAATTATACACATGAGCACATTTTATGTGATAGGGATATCCCCAACTAGGGAGTATGTTAGATCTTTCGTGTAAGGGACTCATAGTAACTTAGGACAGACAAACAACTCAACAAGAACTTGCAATAAATTGAGTTATGGGAACCCACAGAGATAATTCCAAGCCAGCCTTGAGAAGCTCGAAGAGGAAGTGGTGTCAAGAACTCTAAAGGATCAGTTAAAGAGGGTAAAGGAAAATTCCTCCAGTTCTGGGCAAACCACACATAAAATCATGAAATGAAAAGAAATGTTATAGCAGACTGGCAATTTTGCATGTTTCTAAGGAGGTCCATCTCATGGGAAGGCAGGGGAAAAATGAAAGGAAGAAGAGACTACAGAGTCAAAGAGTGAAATAATGTGGAATCTGTATGTTATGCTAAAGGGTCCTAAATTCTATCCAACATTGCAGAGACACGGGAAAGAACTTTAAAGCAAGAGCTGGCATATTGAGATGTTCATTTTAGAAATATCAGCCTTGCTGTAGTTTAGAAAACAGATGGGAAAGAGGTGAGAGTAGAGGCAAGGACACAAAAAGGGGCTACAAGAACCATCTAAGGAGTAGCATTGGGAGGGAGAGAGAGGGACAATGCTGAGGGCCTCGCCTCTCCAGAATCTAGTGGTGGTGAGACACGCAGAGTGAGAAGGGTGAAGAGAGGCAGGTAACAAGATTTCTGTGTTGGGTAAATGAACAGTGGTTCCACTGGGACACGAAAGATAGGAAGTAAGGCTGGTTTGGGAGCTCAGTAGAAAGTTAAATATTTAGGAACCCATACCACATAAATGGAATTAAAGCCACAGTAACGCTAAAGATACTTATATCTATATCACTGCTAACTAAACTACAAAACTTTCCATCAAGCTGCTGTTCTGGATGTGTCTTTTCATTGTCTCCAAAGTGCACAATATTACTCTCCCAAATTAAGAATACAGATACCTGGGCCAGAG